AGTGGGAGAGACCCCACAGGCACTGCAGACAGAGCCTGCCTTCCCCTGCCTCCTGTGCACACTCTGATTAACGGGCACAGCGTCTGTCTCTCATTTCCAGCCACACAAGGGATCCAAAGCGAGGATTAACCATTACCCTTCCCACGGCTGTTCCCAGTTCAGAATTTGGGAACTCTGCTCTGCTCTGCCACCCCTGTACAGATCACCTGCTGCTGCTGCTGCTGCTCCATTACAGTTCAAACCAGGACACACCAGAGCAGGTGTTTGATGACAATTATTGAGGGAAAGGAAGGATGCTTCATCTTCCTCTTGAATTACATCTTCCTGCTTGGGAAGGGCAGACACACAACCACCTGGCTGCCTCTCACACCCACAGCAGSACCCAGGCCTGGTGTCCCATAGGGCTCCCAGAGACCTTTGAGGTGTTCCATGCACCAGGAGAATGCACCAGGAATGGCACTGGAGAAAGCCTTGTGCTGCTCCTGGGATGAGCGAGGCTTGGGAAACCCAGCCAGGCTGTGTGCTTGGCATGGCTGTGCCATGGAGATGGACAAGGACAAAGGAAGGGCCCAGTGCTGCTGTGCTGAGCCCCAGGGGATGCAGGGTTGGACCCACAGGCACCACAGGGCCCTGCTCAGTGCCTGCACTGCCAGCGCTGTCACCAGAGCTGGGACCGCAATGCTCTGGTGGGGTCCATCCCCCAGCCCAACCCAGCACAGCTCAGGCACCACACCACTACAGCACTGCCAATGTCACACTGCTCTCTGCTCACCCTCAGGTGGCCACTGTTGACCTCCCGTTGCCTCCTGGCTCCTCACTGGTCACCGAGGATGCCGTGTGGGCCACTGCTTTGCCTGTGTCCCACCAGGAGACACCCAGGGACCAGGCAAACCTTCATTGCAGGGCCAGATCCCGCTGTGCCTCTCCCTCACACCAGGCTTGGCTCACAGTGTGCACACCTGGGCTTTCTGGGGGCACCCACAGCAAACCCAGCAACACCACAGGGGTGTGACAGCACACTGGTGCCAGGCTGCCATGGAGCTCTCRCAGCGAGCAGGGTGACAGTGATGACAAACGACAGTGGCCCTGTAATTACAGCCAGGCTCTGCTCAGCCAGTGCTGCTGCATTATTGAGAACAACCAAAAATACTCCCAGCTCAGTCATTAACTGGCCTGGGCTCACAGTGAGTGGCTGCTGAGGCTGCCTCAGCCTGGGCTGGCAGAGGGGACAGGGACAGGGACAGCTTGGCATGTGCTGCAGAGGGTTCAACATCTTCCATTCCACAGAGATGAGGTGCTGGGTGAGCAGAGCGTCTCAGAAGCTTTGGGATGCTGATGGGAAAGTGGCATTAGGATCACATTAATTGCCTGGTGACAGTGTCACAGCTGAGCTGGGCTGAGCTGAGCTGAGCAGGGGATCAGGGGAACACGTGGGCACAGCTTTGCTCCCTGTCCAAGGTGCGATCTGGAAATCAGCTGGGAAATTGGCTTAGATGGGAAGGGAGAGAGGAGGGCAGGGAGGTCGGGTGGGCTCCTCAAAGCCCAGGCTGGAACCTCACCTGTTGAACAGCTGTGCACTGGTGCTGCCACAGGGGCTCTGAGTGAAAGCCTCTGGGCCACAACTCTCCAAAAATCTTATTTGACACCTTCGGTGATGCCCTGGACCATGGACAGGGTGTCCTCAGATGCCACCAAGCTGTGAAGAGGTGCTGCCATCCAGAGGGACCTGGGCAGGCTGGGGACAAAGCTGAGAGAGCCCCAGGGAAGATCAGCAGGGGAAACTCCAGTGCTGCCCTGGGGAGGAGCAGCCCTGGCACCCAGAACACACTGGGGACACCTGGCTGGGGTGGCCCAGGGTTGCTGGTGGCAACCAAAGTGACCCCAGGGCAGCAATGCCCTGTCACAGCACAGAGGAGCACCTGAGCTGCAGCAGGGGTGTCACTCAGGTGTCCCTGAGTCCCAGGGAGCTCAGCAAGGAGAAAGGATCTGAGCATCACTCAGGAGGAGAGGCTGGGGCTGTCCCCTGGGGAGGAGGTGGCTCAAGGGCATCCTGACCCCAAGGAGAAATGCTGGATGGAGACTGGCAGAGAGGGCCAGGCTCTCTGCAGGGCACCAAGGGGTGAGGGGCCACGGCACGGACTGAAAGGCAGGGAATTCTCCATCAACATCACAAAACACGTTTTACTGGGAAGGTGGCCCAGGGTGGGACGAGTTTGCTCAATGAGTTGTGGAATCTCCATCCATGAAGACATTGAAAACCCAACAAGATTTGGCCTGGAGAAACCTTCTCCTTCCAGTCCCAGTGGAGCAGGAGGTTGGAGATGATTCCAGAGGCTCCTCCATCCTTGGCAACTTGGAGTTTCTGGGGCTCCAAGCTCTCCCTCAGGCCCTCTTCCCATGCCTGGCTCTGCTCCCATCCTCCTCTCCGTGACACGGGGCATGCCTGGATCCTGGCCAAGGGTTTTTGGCCTGACTGAGAGACAGGAGCTCCCATTAGGATTTACATGGGCAGATCTTCCCAGGTCTGATAATCCAGAGGTTTGTTGACTTTTGCATTTAACATGATCCTCTTCCCTCACTTCTACCCTGCTGTGGGTGCAGCTTTTCCAGGTACAATTGTCACCAAAAACATTCCATGAGCACCCCTTCTTCTACAGCCTGGGTAAGGAGCCCTTCCATTCTCTCTGGACATCCCTGGCCCAGCAGCAGGATCATTTGCTGGAGCAATGCCTCCCCCATCCCTTGCACACTGTGGGGTGGCAGGATCCACACAGGATCCACACAGGATCCACGCAGGATCCACACAGGATCCACGCAGGATCCACACAGGATCCCGGGCTCCATCCCAGCAGTGGGATATGGCATAGCCAGGACCAGACAACCCCCTGGAACCTGAGAGCATCAGGATGACACGGGACAGGCATGGGCTGCCACCCCCCATTGCTTTCCAGTGTTATTTCTGTGAGAGTTTATTCCCCAAACATGACTTGGAATTAATATCCAAGGATCCTCACAAATCCCAGGTTGATTTGTTTGTTTTCTCTACTTCTTTAATAAAATATAAATAATAATCATGCATTTATAAATCAAAAAATTGTATCAAATTGTATMTTAATAGATATAATACTGACATGTAATGCAAAATACATAAATTCATATAGATGTGAACCTATTTAATATATTTCACAATATAATGCATACATTAAAATACATAGAAATAAAACCATAATAAAGTATAATACCCTTATTTTGTTTWATTACAGACATCCCCCTTTCCAATCCCTGCTGTGGCACTGAAGTGCCATTGGTGGCCAGGCAGTTCTGTTTGAGCTCACCCACACAAGAGGGAATTTTCTGCTGGATTCAAACTTTGCAGCTTCAATTAATCCCCAGGCTCTTTCTYCTCCTGTTGTCCAAGTTCTGTCTTTGTATTGTTTGGCTGCCACGGCGAACGCCGGTGTCAGTCACCGAGAGGCCGCTGCCCCCTGCCAAAACCTCGTCACTACATCACCTCCCCACGAGCAAAGTTCCCACTTRCAGGCACCCCAGCCAAGAATTTGGGCAATCCCTGGAAAGAGCAGGGCTGGATTGGGGTGGGATGGGATAAACAACTGAGTCACAGTGACCTCCTGGCTTGGCCTCAGGGCTGCTGCCGTGGGCTGCCCACCCAACCGTGTCCCAAATCCCCTCTGGCTGAGGGTGTCTGGGGAGCTGGGGAAGAGGGGTGTGGGGGCGCAGGCAGGAGCCCTTTGACCACCAGGAGAGTGGGACAGAGGGAAAAAATAAAAATATTGGAATGGAGCAGTTCCGGGGCTATGGAGGCTCATTGCCAGTGACTTTCTGGTGATTTGACAGAGATTCGGTGTAGAGGTGTAAGGAATCACCCCACAGGCACAGGAGCGCATCCCCCAGGCAGTGACTCCGAACATCCCTGGCCTGACCTGCAAACTGTCCTGCTCCGGGGCCAAAAGAGGGGCACAGGTCCTGGGTGTCCCTGTGAGCCCTGCTGAAACACAGCCTAACCCTGCACAGCCCAGCCCTGGCTGCTCCAGGACATGCTCTATTCCAGGGATGCTCTGCTCCAGGGGATGCTCTGCTCCAGACCATGCTCTGCTCCAGGACATGTTCTCTTCCAGGGGATGCTTTGCTCCAGGACATGCTCTATTCTAGGGGGTGCTCTATTCCAGGGGATGCTCTATTCCAGGGGATGCTCTGCTCCAGGCCATGCTCTGCTCCAGACCATGCTCTGCTCCAGGACATGCTCTGCTCCAGGRSATGCTCTGCTCCAGACCATGCTCTGCTCCAGGGGATGCTCTGCTCCAGGACATATTCTGTTCCAGAGGATGCTCTGCTCCAGGACATGCTCTGCTCCAGGGGATGCTCTGCTCCAGACCATGCTCTGCTCCCTCTGCCAAGAACACAGAATTGCCTCTACTGAGGAGCTCCCACCTTTGCAGGGACCAGCACAGACCTGAACTCCTCCCTCTTCTCCTCCAGGTGCAATCCCATCCTTTCCTGGAACTGGCTGTGCCCAGCTCGCTCTCCACCAGAGGTGTGGTGGCCGTGGCCGTGCCAGATGTGTGGGTGCTCTGAGCAAGATGCACATTACAGGAGCCCTGAGGAGGCCACAGGAGCCCAGGGAGGAGTTCATCCACACCTGCAACAACCACAACACCTTGGGYTCACGTTCCTCCAAAGCCCAAGAGCAACCCCAAAATATTTGAGAAAAAAAAAGAAGCGCTTTTCCCATTTTCTGATCAATTTTCCATCAGAAAGGGGTTTGAAGGAAAATTGTCACCCCCTAGGTATGTGGCCAGGCACAGTGCCCCACTTCCAAGCTACCTCAGTCTTTGTTTACCAGAGCATCCCCTCGTGGGTCACTGCCCTRCTGAGATGGCAGTGACCAGCGGGGCAGTGACCTGGCAGGGACATGAGAGGCTTGGCCACGACAGTGACAGCTTCTTCTGCAGTGTGCCCCCGGAAGGGAGCACAGAGCAAAAGGTGACTCAGCAGCGCCGGGAGGGGACRGTCACCATCTCCCCGGTGCTCCCTCGGCTCTCGCAGAGCTCCCAGTGCCCGGCTCTGAGCTCCGTGTCACAGCGCAGCGGGGACAGGCGCGCACCGGCCGCGACAAAGCAGCGCCTCTGCGCCCCGCCCCGCGTTCCGGCAGGGCTGTGCCGATACCGAGCAGAGAAGGGCACACACAGAGGGTCGGGGCTCAGCTCTGCTCTCCGCTCAGTTGGCATTTCCTCACTGGAATTCTCCCTTTCTTTCCCTGCTTGGCAGCGCGGTTGAGGATGGACGTGGGATCAGCCGGGTTGCTCGTCTCTCTCCTCCTCCTCCTCTCCATCCTGTGGCTCCTGGTCCGGAGGAGTGACACCAAGAGGAGCCGGCTGCCCCCTGGCCCAGCCCCGTGGCCCATCCTGGGCAACCTGTGGCAGAAAGATGTCCTGCCCCTCTACAGGCACTAYGAGAAGGTAAGGGACAAGTGGCAGTGCTGGACTCATGCCCAGCAGGACAGATAGCGGGAACGTCCTGTGCCAAAATAAAAGAAAATCCCACAGGTGACTCTTTTTCTACCYTTCTTCCCTCCCTCMTCTCTTGCTCTGCCAGAATTGCCKGAATCCCTTCTATWGGGAGCAGAGTCAACCCTGTTACTGCAGCCTTTCCCCTCCTGTAAGGGACCCACATGGCAATAACCCCTCTAGGCCTGCCCAGAGCTGCTTCCCGGAGATGATGCTTTGAACTCCCAAAGTGGCACTGGGATAAAGTCCCCAGGGACAGGGACAGGGACAGGGACAGGGACAGGGACAAGGTCACGGCTTGAAGAGAGGCACTTTCTCTCCCTGCTGGGCATTCACCAGTGCTGTGGGCACGAGTCCCAGTTGGGTGTGGGACTGGTGTGGGACCTCAGCTCACAGAGCTCCCCATCCCTCCAGCTCAGCAGCACCTAYGGCCCCATCTTCACCGTGTGGCTGGGCCTGAGGCCGGTGGTGGTGCTCTGCGGCTACGAGGCGGTGAAGGATGCCCTGGTGGGACACTCKGAGGAGTTTGGGGGCAGACCTGAGATCCCCCTGCTGATGCAGCTTTCCAAAGACTACGGTGAGTGCCTGGATCTCTCCTGGATGTCTCGGGGTAAGCAGATGGCCACATCCCAGTCTGAGCAGTCAAAGACCTCAAACACTCATTTCCTACTCTGCAAGATGCTTCAGCTCCTGAGCCCTGTATCCAAGGACAGTGTTAACAGTAGTCAGGTGGTTCCAGATTTGCTCTGGATTTCTGTAGAGATCCTTTYATGGACACTGTGAACATGTGCATCATACCGTGGTTTATTGCCCTGCTGCTCCTCAGCCTGGCTCAGAGCAGGGTCCCCATTCCTGGGGAGCAGCAGGGCGGGCTGAGGCTCATCTGCACTGTCCCTCCAGGATTTGTCTCCAACAATGAGAAGAAGTGGCGGGAGCTGCGGAGGTTCACACTCAGCACCCTGCGGGATTTTGGGATGGGGAAGAGCTCCATGTCCCAGAAGGTGCAGCAGGAGGCTCAGTACCTGGTGGAGCTGCTGACAGAGCTCAAAGGTGATGTGGCTCCTGTCCTTGTTGGCCCGTGGCAGGCAGAGGACACACCACAGCTCCAGGGGACATGTGTGACCCAGAGCTGTTTGCAGGGCCTGGTGTGGGTGATCCCTACAGGGAAGGGCTGAGATCCAGCCCTGTCCTTCCCAGGAGCTGTAGAGAATTCTGCAGGCATGTCTGAAGCGCCAGAGTTCCATGCTCTGAACTGGGGCAGGGGTGGCAGCCACTGAGGGACATCCCCTGCCAAAGGAACACAAATGGGGAACTGAACTGCGTGGGCCTGGGAATGCCCAGCTCAGGCACTGTCCTGGTGACATGGGGTTATCAGGGGGATGTCCTCCTCTCCAATGAAACCCAGCTCGTGACAGTACCAACACATCTGCTAGGGCTTCCTGGAGATGCCTCTGCTTTCCTGAGTCCGAGCTCTGGGAGGAGTTTAGTTGCCCAGATGGGATGGAGGAGGTCAGAGCACTGGAGGGCTCTTGGCTTTGGCTGTCAAACCCAGCAGATCCRGCCAGGGCTCAGAGCTCCAAGTTGGGGACAAAAGGGTGTTTTCTGTCTTGAGGCAGATAAATAACTGTTGACTTTTGGATACTTTTCTCACCTCTTGTGGCTGCAGGCAATGCCTTTGAGCCAATGACCATGTTCAGATACGCAGTTTCCAACGTGATCTGCTCCGTGGTCTTTGGGAGCCGCTACAGCTACAACGACTCTGCTTTCCTGGAGCTGCTCAATGCCATCGGGAACTACATCAGCTTCTTCCTGTCCCCCATCGCCAAGGTGGGAGCTCTGCGTGCTCAGCACACTCTGTCTGCTGTCCTCGGGGGCTGAGGATGCTCCTCGGCTTGGGGTCACCCCTTGGCTTTGAGGGAAGGTACCTGAGCCCTCCTGTGCCCCTCCTCCGCAGGTGTACAACACCTTTCCCAGCATCATGCACCACCTCCCGGGGCCTCACAAGAAGGTCCTGGCCGAGTGCCAGAAGCTGAAGGACCACATCCAAGAGAAGGTGCAGTTCCACAAGCTGACTCTGGACTCCAGCTGCCCCAGGGACTACATCGACTGTTTCTTGATAAAAGCAGAGAAGGTAGAGGGGCTGCAGAGGGGTCTGCCCCCCCGCCTGGCTTCAGCTTAGAACATCCCCCAGGCACTTCTGAATCCCCTCCCCACCACACCATCCTTGCAGGAGAAGGGCAGCCCAGACAACATGTACAGCCACGAAGACCTGATCATGTCTGTGTTCAACCTGTTTGGGGCCGGGACGGTGACAACCAGCAACACTCTGGTGTTCTTCCTGCTGATGCTGGCAAAGCACCCCCACATCCAAGGTATGGCAGCAAAACACAGTTGCTCCTGTGCCTGAGGWGCTCACAGGGCTGGGAGCCCCAGCCCTGCAAGGTCCCATCTGGAAGCAGACCAGAATCATCCTATGGGATCACCCAAGGGTGGGAGCATTAGACACAGATTCCCACAGGCCAGGGGGATCCAGGTGCTTCTCCCTGTGCTCCTCCCTGTGCTTCTCCCTGTGCTCATCCTGGCTCATGCAGATGGCCCTGGACTGGCCTGGGGAGATGCTCTGAGCTTGCCTGATCCGGGGAGGGATGAGGACAGAGACTGTTCCTGGTCTCTACAAGGGATTAGGGCAGGCTGCTYCCCCTCTAGCCCATCCTTGGCTTTGGGATAAGTGCCCATRGGGGTCAGTWRGGAATTCTGCWGAGGTTGCACAGCAGGCAYCCAGCCCCYGCTGCTGTCCCCAGCCAAGGTCCAGGAGGAGATCGATGCTGTGGTGGGCAGTGGCCGTGCCCCCAGCACGGAGGACAAGCTGCGCATGCCCTACACCAACGCCGTGATCCACGAGCTGCAGCGCTTCCACAAGACCCGCATCGAGAACTTCCCGCGCATGACTACRCAGGACGTCCTGTTCAGGGGCTACACCATCCCCAAGGTACTCATGGTGACCCTGGAGCCTCTGTCCCCGAGGGACAGGTGGCGGCGTGACTTCAGTGAGATYTGCCTTTGTCCCTGAACTGTTTGCACACATCTGAAGGCCCCACATCTTTCCCAATCCTCGGTGGCAATGACCTTTGAGAGGGGAGCAGAGGGAGATGAATGTCACCGCCTATTCTGCCCACACTCCCGGGGTCCCTTCCTCGCCCATCCTGGAGAACAGATCATCCCACCATGGACACGTGCAGGGCTGGAGGAGGAGCTCTCTGTGATGTGGGGCCAGCCCAGGGCTCCCCACCTCTCTTGGTTTGACTACCCACCCTGAGGGGACACCTCCCGCATTTGGATTTGGGGCAGTGAGAGGGGTTTTGGCAGAAATCCATGGAAATCACTCAGTAATTTGTGTCTCATGACAGACTGACATCACCATGGGGATAGCAGAGCCCCATGTTTGTTGYCCTGGTGGCACAGAGCCATCATTCCAGGCTGCCTCCCCACAGGAACCTGGCTGTGTATTGGGGTGCACACCCAGCCTGCCCCAGGCCCCTCAGATCTCCCCCTGACTAACCCAGCCCAGCAGAGCCCATGGTGTGGTACTGATGTCCCTCCACCATCTCTGCCCATCCCTCTCCTGCAGGGCACACCTGTTATTCCGGTGTTTTCCTCTGTGCATTCGGATCCAACCCAGTGGGAGAACCCCAAAAAAGTGGACCCAGCGCACTTCTTGGATGAGAAGGGCGAGTTCAGGAAGCGTGAYGCCTTCATGGCATTCTCAGCAGGTCAGTGCTCCCCCTGCCCTGCCCGATCCGTGCCCAGGAGTGCCAGCACAAACAGTGCCACCCCACCAGGGGCTGCCTGCCCACTGTCCTACCCCTCACTCCCCATCGGTGTCACCTCTCTCTGTGCCCAGGGAAGCGGATGTGCCCGGGGGAGGCGCTGGCCCGCATCGAGCTCTTCCTTTTCCTCACCACRCTGCTGCAGAGCTTCACCTTCCAGCTGGCCATGGAGCACAAGGAGATGGATTTGTTCTCCCTGTGGCTCGAGATCGAGAGGAGGGCGATCTCGGGCAAGTTCTTTGCTATTCCACGCTCGGTGTCCTCCTGAGCAGGGACAGCGGGACAAGGAAAAGCTCTTCCAGGTGCTTCCACTGCTGACCCCAGAGCGAGCCCTGTGGCCAGGAGGGCACAGCCACAGCCACCACGGGAGGGACAATTTGAGCTTGGAGTTCCTGCTCTGAGAACTGTTGGGCTCCTTTGGCACCAGCTCCTCAGGCAGCCTGCCCCCAGCCCTTCCCRGCACATGCCAGGAGCACGAGGAGGGCAGCACTGCTCTTCCTCCCCCATCCCCGCCCGTGCTGGTTGAGCTCCTGGTGGCAGGGCTGCCAGGGGCTCATGGGCTGGGCAGGGGCTCTCCCAGTTGGTGACAGATTCAGAGTGCTCTGCAATAAAGGTAACCATCAGAACAGGATGCTGCTGTTTGTAAGAACTCTCGTGGTGCACTTGCGTCCAGTTCTCCCAAAGCAAACCCCCAGACTTGGGATTTCAGCTCGGTTTCTGCTCCTGGGATGTCTTTGCCTTCCCCAGAGCAACTCAAGCCAGAAAATCACCCAGTTTGTTTTACCTGATTTGCCCCCATGGCTTTATTTTCAAATGAATCCTAGTGCTTCAGGAATTCTTTGCTCATTTCCCAACACTGATCYCATGGCTCTGAACCTGGGCAGGGCTCCAGGCAGGCAGAGTCACCTGAGCCCCAGCAGCAGCTGAATGATGCAGCTGAAAGAGCACAAGGAAGGGGCTGAGGAGCAGCACAGAGGGGCTGTGTGGGGAATAGAAGAGATTTTTAAACAATTAAAGAACTGATTGGAAGGACTTTAGAGCCCATCCAGTCCCACCCCTGCCATGKCAGGGACACCTCCCACTGTCCCAGGYYRMTCCCAGCCCCAATGTCCAGCCTGGCCTTGGGCACTGCCAGGGATCCAGGGGCAGCCACAGCTGCTCTGGGCACCCTGTGCCAGGGCCTGCCCACCCTCCCAGGGAACAATTCCTGCCCAATATCCCATCCATCCCTGCCCTCTGGCACTGGGAATTCACTATGATTGGCAGTGATATTCCCTGTGTCCTGTCCCTCCAGTCCCTTGTCCAAAGCCCCTCTCCAACTCTCTTGGAGCTCCTTCAGGCATTGGAAGGGGTTCTAAAGTCTCTCTGGAGTTCCTTCTTCCCCAGGTGGAACAATTCCAATTCTCTCACCTTCCAAAACCACCCTGTTTTGCTGTCTCAGTGCTGGGCTGTGCTTCTCTGATCCCTTCACATCAATATTTAACTGCAGAAAGTGCCTTTGGGTGCCAGTTCAGCTCCATGTGCAGCTGCCTGAGTCATTCTGGGGTCTTGAGGGGAGCTGAACCCTCCTGTTCCCCCTGCCTGGGGGTGAGGGTGGCTGCAGAGGGTGTTGTGTCAGCAGYGGGCCCTGGGATCTCTGTGAAGCTTGGGGGCTTGGGGGAAACTGGGGCTCTGCAGGGTCTCGGAGCTGGTTTTGGTGGGGTTTGCCTTGCTGGGGTGCTCCATGGAGGGGGGACAGCAGGGACTCTGTCCTGGGGAGGGGTGGCTGTGCCCTGCTGGAGGGGGTGAGATCAGGGACCTGCCCAATCCTGCTGCCTTTTCCCAAATGATGGGTGATCCAGCTTTACTGTGACTCTGAGTGCATTGTGACCCTTCCATGACTAAACCAGGTCTTCTCTTCACCTGGGGAACTTTGGGGCTGAGGAAACTGTGTCAGAAACACGTGTGAGCAAAGCCTTTGCACAATCCCCAGCCAGACCCCTGGAACAGCACTGTCCCCGTGGCCTGRGTGACCTCTGGGTTTCTGTGTCTCAAACCAAACAGCGGTGTCCAAAGGGCACCCTGCTCCCGCTTCCCAGCCGGTGCCTGCCCGTCTGCGGCACCGCCCAGCCCAGCTGCGCCCCGGGGCCCCGGGTGCCCTGCTCTGACTGCGGGGCCCATCCCGGAGGGGCTGCAGACACCCCCAGCACCCCGACATCCCGATATCCTCTGACATCCCCTGACACCCCCAGCACCCCGACATCCCCCAACATCCCAATATCCACTGATATCTCCCAGCACCCCTGACATCCCGGTATCTCCCATCACCCCGCCGTCCCCTGGCACCCAGCAGGACCCTGACATCCCCCAGCACCCTGACACCCCCAACATCCCCCAGCACCACAAATCCCCCCCCATCCCCACATCCCCCACCATCCCGACATCCCCGGCATGCCCCAGCAYCCCTCGATGAGCGGGCTCTCCCGGGTGCTGCGCGGCTCTTAGCGGCATTACGGCGGCGGTTGGAGATTACGGTAACTGTCGCCGGGCAGCCCCGACGCGGCGGTGGCGGTGGCGGTGGCGGTGGCAGTGGCGCGGACCCCGGGCAGGTGAGCGGGTCCCTTTTCCTCCTTCTGCAATGTCACAGCTCCAGTCATACTTCTGCCGATGAAAAGCTAAATGAGAGTTCCCCCGTTCTCAGTAAAACGGTGCGATGTCCTCGGCATGAGGTGGCTCTGATGTGTCCCTTTGCAGTCTGGGACTGTCACCTTCTCATGCTGGTGGCTGCTGGAGCTGGAGGGTGCCAAGTAAGATCAAACTGCTGCACTGTATCCCCACTGTGTCGCCACCAAGCCCAGCCGGGGTGTCCCGTGGCCCCTCTGATCCCCTGATGTTTGCACATGTGAGGAGCCCGTGCCTGTCTCCAGGGCAGGGGTGAGGGGGGACAGGTGGCACCCTGTCCCCTCAGACCCGCTGGTGTGACAGACCAGGAGTGTTCCCAGCACTTTCCTGGGACTTGCACAGTGCCAAAGTGATGAGCAGGAGAGTCAAGGGCAGCCCAGCTCTTCAGGGCATTGCTGACAACAGCATTTCATGTTGTCCATGGCCATCAAAACTCAAGCACTTCCMGGACTGTAAATTCCCTGTTTTCCAGGTAGCCAAGCACCAGAACCTGCTTTTTGGCCCCAAAACACCGAGTGCCCCACYCAGGAGGGTCCTGATGCAGAGCCAGCTCACTGATGTCCTTAGCTGATCCCAATGTCACCATGGCTCCTGCATCTCTCCAGTCAGGCTCTGACAACAGCCAAGCCAAGGATTTCACTCGCTTGCTGCCATTACAGCTGTCCATGGCCATCCTGGGTAAAGCTGCTCTGATTTTCCAGGGGTGGTTTCCCCTAAGGGTAAGGAATGGTCTCCAGTGGGGATTAACCAATCTGTCCCTTTAATTTCCCAGGGTTTTTGGATCAAAAATCCCTGGATGACTGTTCTGCTGTGAATGGCCACTGGGCTTTCCTGGTCAGCCAGGTCCAGAAGGAGCAAGAGTGTCGGAGCATGGTACAGAAGGACTTCCTGCAATTGAAGGTGAGACATCTGAGCTGCCGCCATTATCCTTTAAAAAGAGGGTTTTGCTGCTGCCAATAGCATTACATGGGAATTCCTCTACCAGAGGCTGCCCCACACCTCTGCCATGGCACTTATACCTCCAGCTGCAGTGCAAAGCCAGGTGACCTTTCCCACTCTCACAAGGGAGCACCAGAGAACAGCTTTTACTCCCTTTTAGAGAGTCTGTGACTTTAAAAAGGGATCCAAACATTCTCATCATCAAGAAAGCAGAGTTAGGTCACAGTGAAAATTTCCAGAGACAGTGGAGATTGGGCAGAGCCACARTAGCTCCCAAGGCAGCTCAAGAATGAGCTGTTTGCTCCACACAGGGAAAGGCAAGGGAGGGCTCTTTGTGAGGAGCTGAACGTGGTGGTTTGAACACAGGAACGCAGAACTCCTGGGAGAGGCTTGTCCTGGCCAGCAAAACCTGCTACAGAGCGAGGTGTGAGGGTGCATCCCCCAAGAGACAGCCTGGAGCCTCTGATGCTTTGCAGTGTGAAGGGTGCACAGAAACTCAGCTCTGTGCTGGCCTTCAAAAAAGGCTTCATGGAAGGTTTCACATGCTAAAAATGAACCTTAAATGTTGACCAAGGTGTTTTGAGAGCCACTCATCTCAATGAGTTTGTATTCTGAATCAACTGAGTGCCCACCAAAGATGAGATGAGCTTGAAATTTTGCTGCTTAATGAAAGTTTAAGACTAGAGTTTGAAAAAAATAACAAAAAGCAAATATTTTTCACAAGAAGTTAAGCCTTAGATAGATGAAGTGGTAAATGTAAGCCAGGTCTCAAACAAGAAGGCAGTGTGTGCAGCTCAACTTTGCAGGCAACCTCACGGAGGTGAGCAGCATCCCCTGTGTGTGTGGGCTCTGCAGTAATTGTTGCCTCTATTGCTTTATTCCAGGAGTTGTGTCCTAGAAAAACCATTCCAAACTATGCTAAAAGAGTCGAAGTGAAAATTCCTCAGTTAAATGACGAGGGTGAGGTCATTGAAACAAAGGACAAGGAGCAGAGCAAGAGACGTAAATCAAAGGTTTGTTGGGAGCTGTTTGCCTTCCATGGATCCTGTATTTCTGTGGCTRAGAGGAAGGAGGACAGGTCTGCAGTACAGCACAGTGAATTTAGAGTTGCTTTGCTCTTCATTCACTCCTGCTTTTGGATTGCCCCATTGTGAGCAATTTCTAGGGAACAAGGCTTCCTCTGCACCTTCCTGCACGGGAGGGAGCCCCCATTCCCACACTTCTGCCTGGTCCTCGTGTCCCCAGTCACAGCACAGCCCTGAAGCCAGGGGCCTTCTTCCTGCAGAGTAAAGGGTGCAGCTGTCAGGGCTTCCATTTATGCCACAGAACACAGCATGGGAAGAGCCCTGGATTAAGCAGGGACTTCCTGCCCTCTGCTTTTCCTTACCAGCACTCTGGGTCTCCATTGGGCTCATCACTGGAGCTGCAGTGTTCAATACTGCGGACTAATGCTGCATTCCTCCTTCCCTGAGTAACTGTTCCTTATTTCTCTTGCCATCAGACAGAGGATTTCAGTCTACATGCAGCCTATCAGACACTGCAAACTTACAAGATGGAGATGGAAGAAAGAAATGTCTTCTGCGGCTCCTACAAGAGCCGTGTCCTCATGGAGCAGTGAGTAGAATGGAGCAGTGAGTAGAATGCCTGACTGTGGGGCCAAGAGCCGCTTTAGAAAAGCTGTGCCACTCCTTGTGATCTGCCTCGATGGCTGGAGAAGGGACCCTCAGCATCAGTGTTAAGAAATCCCCATGTCAAAACTATTTTTTAAATACAGACACCAAGACCAGCCGTTTTTAAAGGAAAAGGGGTCAGTGATCCATGGTGTATCCCAAGGGATATGGGGCTGGGAGGAACCCTAGCCCCTCTGTGAGCCTACCCTGATACAGAGAGGGTGTATAGGACAGGGACTGTGGTTGTGGTGCCCTGCAAAGGATTCACCACTGGAGTGTTGCCCACACTGCCCAGCTGCACACCAGGAAAATGCTGGCACAGACCTTGCAGCAGGCTAAAGCTCACCTCAGACCCTGCTTTTCTCCAGGTCAGACAGCAGAAGGATAACCCATTACAATGGTGGGGATTTTGTGGCCCTTTCTGCCTCTGCCAACAGAAAAGTGAAGCTGCTCCATGTGCCAGAGGGGAAGGAAGTGCCCCTTCTGCTCCAAGGCCACGTTGGGCCCATCAGAGCTCTCCATCTCAGTGAGGAGAAAGGGCTCCTGATCAGCACCAGCTTTGATCTCAGCATCAGGTGAGCTGGGGCTGTGCCTGGGACACAATCCTTGGCAAACCGAGGGAAAAGGGAAGGATGTGGGTAAAAATGGAATGCTAAGGCTGACTCGATCATTCCARTTTCTCTGACACCTTAGTGGAACATCTCCTGACTTTAACCCAGTGTGGAAGAAGAGTTGGGCACATTAAATAGAAARTAATCATGGAATCATAGAAGAKTTTGGGTTGGAAGGAACCTTAAAGCTCATCCAGTTCCACCCCTGCCATGGGCAGGGACAACTTCCACTATCCCAGGCTRCTCCAAGTCCTGTCCAACCTGGCCTTGGACACTTCCAGGGATGGGGCATCAATCACCAACACCTCAATGGGTAATCTAAGACCTCTCTGAGCATCTTATTAATGAATAAGATGAATAAGCCATCAATCAAATGGAATTTCCTCTTGGGCTGGTGCTCTGTAGGTACTGGAATATTCCCAGTGGTGCCTGTGTGAGAACCTTCACTGGCCACTATGGGACCGTCAGCTGCCTGGATTCACATGAGGAGCAYTTTGTGTCGGGAGCTGGGGATGGGATGGTGAAAGGTGAGAGCTGCACTGGGAGCTTCCAGCCAGAGGCAACACTGGAGGACAATGGGCAGAGGACAGGGAGCTGGGATGAGTGGGACCAGCATGGGGATGGAAGGAAGGGGATCAGTCAGAGGGTCAATTCTGGGTGTTTTCACAAGAGCCTAAGCTGGAGATACATGCACACACAGGCTCTGATTGTGTCAGGGACTAAGTTCTCATGATTTCTGCTTTTATTCAGAATTAATGGCTTCATGGCTGTAATGCCTGCCCAACTCTTGGGCAAGTGGTATCAAGCTTCAGCTTTGGCAGAGGTTTCCTTATAGAATAAAGGTGAAAAGATGTGCATTTTCTGGACTTTTTACTTTTTTACTTTTTGCCACAAAATTATGCATTTTAAGTCAACACTCAACTCCTCACAGAGCTGCAGGTATAAAGTGTGACTGTAATTCCAGTTGTACTTTTTAATTCATGTTGTACTCCCAGAACTCYTCACTGGGGCAGATGTATTTTTAATTCTGCTCCCCTTTGCCCCTGCAGTGTGGAGCCTGAAGAGTGGGAAATGTGTCAGGACTCTGATGCACAACAGCCCTGTGAGGGCTGTGAGGATGGACGCGACCCACGTGGTCAGTGGGTGTCACCGAGGGCTGGTGAAGGTCTGGAGTGCTGAGACAGGGGCTCTGATCCAGGTGACTTTCCTCCTACGTCAATATTTCTGTGCTAAATGGTCAAAACTCTCTGCTAGTTTATCAGTCTTTTGTCTTTGCCAAAGGCTTTCTGAAAAAGAAAATAATCCCCCCCAAAACAACCCCCAAAGCAATCTAAACCAATAAAGGAAACTGCAAATAATTTAAAAACTGATTTGCAACCAGCAGTTGACTTTAAGGCAGGGTGTGATTTGCTTCATCCCCATCATTGCTCATTCTCTGTAGATTTGTTCATCTCTGCTCCTTCAGAACCTGGGGGATGATGGGAGAGCTTCACTAATGTGGGGCTGGAGGTACCAGCCCTAAATGGGAATATTGCTCTCAGAACCAATCTCTGAAGCTGAAGCAGCTGGGAAGCTGTGGGAGCGTTCAGAGTCTGTGAATTCCCTGATCAGCTGTCCAGGATCASTGTGAGTCACTGGGGAGAGGAGTGAAGCACTTCACTTGCAGGGAAGAGCTTCAAATTGAGATCCCAAATATCTCAGATATCCCAGCTCCAGCTGAGCCCCTTCCCCTACAGCCAGGACAGCCCCCTGTCTTCCCTCCTGGGACAACATGCCCAGCAAAGGTCTCAATGCAGTAAAACCTGTTGATGACAGGTAAAAAAGATGGAAAAGGGTCAGTAATTGCATGCCAGGAGCTCAGCAGCAGCACCCAGCCCAGAACATTTTTTTTCAGTGACTATGAAACCAACACAGTTATCCAGAGGGTGCACTGGGGCAATACCACCCTATATGTCAACGTCAGGCTGGTGTCCTGAATGCCATAAGACACCTCAGACAGATTTACATCTGGCTGATGCCAATGTTGCACCTTTTTCTTTTACTTTACAGACATTGGAGAGGCACCAAGGCCCAGTTCTCTGCTTGTCCTTTGACCAGTGGCACATTGTCACTGGGAGCAGCGATGGATATGCCCTGGGATGGAGCATGGTGGGGAAACTGAGGAAATGCCTGATTGCTTTCTTCCATCCTGGGTAGGAATCACATGTGTTTCAACTTGTATTCAACAGTGGACTGAATCTGTAAAGAAAATACRCCCCTTATAGGACCAGAAAATGCCTTCATTATATTCAGTCTTAGGATTTGAAACATTCCCAATTTTCACCAGTCTTTACCTCCAAGGCTGTGTCAGGCACCACGTGGTCACAAACAGCATTTTTGTTAAGACCTGGGACAACCTGAAATGCAAACCCTGAACACTTTATCACAAAGAGAGATGAGTAAAGACTGACAGTGCACAGTCCAATATTCCAAGGATCCCCCGCTGTGTGCCACAGGGGAATCACCCGGCAGGAGTACAGGTGGCCCAGTTTCATGTTGATCAACTGTGTGTCATGCCATTCTCTCAAACTTTAATTGTATCTAGAACTGGGGAAACTGGAGAATCACATTGTTTTCATTGATTTTCCTGGACATAAAACTGAAATTTCAAATGCAGCAGATGGTCATGACCATATGGTTGCTATGGGGAGCACGGAATCACAGAATCCCASAATGATTTGGGTTGGAAGGGACCTTAAAGATCACCTCATTCAACCCCCCTGCCATGGGCAGGGACMCCTTCCAGTGGAAGGATGCACTGGGCTCTTGATTTGGATGTGATCTGAGACTTCTCTGTCAGACCTTTGAATGTGCTGAGCAGCTCCTCAGTGCAGGCTATTGATGCAGCCAGAGCTCTGCTTCTCCTCCAGGCCAGAAGAGCTCACTGACCATTTCTCCTTGTGAAAGCAGCATGCAAGTGCCAACCCTCACCTGGTGTGTTTGCAGGGAGGTCCTGGCCCTGGAGTTCCTGTACCTCAGAGTCATCAGTGGCTGTGCTGATGGACACATTCGGATATTCAACTTCCTGACTGGAACCTGCCTCAGAGTGCTGGAGCCCACCAGCASCGGGGGCCCCATGTCTTCTCTCCATGTTGCAGGAAACAGGTTGGTGACAACAGCTGCCAGCAGGCTTTGACCCAAATTTGCCAGATCACACTGATTTAAGGAACTGTGTGTTTGTCTTTCTCACAAATAACTTCTGAAGGGCTCCGCTACTTATCAACTGCTTCAATAATCTGGTTTAGTTCACAATGTCTGAAAAGTGATTTCCTTAGTCTTTTCAGGAATGTACAATTTTCTGCTTCCATACAACTGAAAATACAGACCAAACTGTAAAGCTAAATACAGAAATTTTTAAGAGGTTGGAGAATGAAGCCAATACCTGACAGTATCTCTGTCTGTTCCCTGACCTACAGCCTCTCTATGAAGGCCAATAATGAGAAATCCTCCCAGGTTCATTTACTTGTGCACCTCRAGGTGGCTCCCAGCTGCTGTGGAAGCAGTGGGTAAAACATGGGTTTATTTTCAAAGCTGGGCTGGCCACACTAAAACATAGCAATAAATGGGCAATTATGAAGCAATTAACTCCAGCCCAACCAGCACAGCCCTCCAATCCACACTTAAATGTCCCTGATAATGTGGTATTTGTAGCTGAGTATTTCCATCCTTTAGCACTGCACGGATATAGCTCAGGCTAATGTCGGCAGTTTTCATCCTAATTAATGTAAAACTGATTTTGCCAYGGAGCTGAATGAAAAGAGCCCCAGACAGCTCATACAGGTATGAGTTAAAATGTGCTGATTGATTGGGGTTAATTGCTGCTGCTCCTTCAAGGAGGGATGGGTATCTCAGATCTGTTTGATGCCTGGGGGTTTGTTGCACAGGAGCCCCTCAGGCAGGACCTGCTGTGTCCACAATTCCCGTGCTTTTAAGGGTTCTTCCCTCCTTCCCCCAGGATGGTGATCAACTCCCCCAGCAGTCTGGTGTTGCTCCAGTTTGAGGATGTGGTGTGGGACTATTCCCTACCTGCTGACAGAGAGGTGGTGAAGAAGGACAAGAAATCCCGGAGAGGAATGCGCCAGGCCACCAATGCAGAGCAGCGACGGGCTCCGGAGGCTCAGGACAAGTCCCCAAAGTCTCACCAGTCATCAAGGAGCCAAGGAAGACCCAAAAGTATAACATGGAGCCTCTGCTTTTCTGGGTTTTCTAAACTGAGTTACAAACCAAGCACCCACTGCCTTCAGCAYAGCCAATATTCAGACTCTCTGCTGTTTTCAAGAGCAGATGTGCTGCTCCATTTCAATGGTTCTGTCATTTTCTAGGCTTCTGTGAAATCTTTCTGCCTTTTTAGAAGGGTTTGGTGTAAATTCAACACATTTTTTAAGACAKGCACTGTCATTTTCCAACTGAGTAAGAGAGAAATCAGTAGTAGTATTCATATTCACACAGCTGGCGGGCTTGGAAACACGCTGCTGATTCAGGGCTTGAATTATTCATCACAAACACCCGAGAAAGTGAGAGAACACCTACATTCAGRATCTGCCATCACTGGGAAAGGCAACTGCACAGAAACAGGCACCTTCTCAATTGTAACACAATGATGTTATTTTGTTTTAAGTCAGAGCTATTCAATACAGTGTGATGACAAATCCTCCAGCTCCCCAACCAAACTGAATATTGCAGATAAACTAAGAAAGGGTTCATGCTTTTCAGGCCATCAGATGTCAACYTCCTGATAGAGCTCTACTGGGTAAAAGGGCATGGCTGGAACTGGGCCAGGGCAGGGTCAAGGTGGAKAKCAGGRAAAGGTTCTTCTGTSCCCAGAGGGTGCTGGCACTGCCCAGGCTCCCCAGGGAATGGTCCCGGCCCCGAGGCTGCCAGAGCTCCAGGAGCGTTTGGGCAGCGCTGCCAGGGATGGACGGGGGGGATTGTTGGGGGGTCTGGGCAGGAACTGGAGCTAGACTGGATGAACCTTGTGACCCTTTCAGCTCAGCCTGTTGTGTGATTCTTTGGTTCTATGATCTGCAGTTTGTGAGAAAACCTCTCAACTCCAAATGTGTTGCTTTGTTTTTGGACAYAGGTGGTGAAGCTGAACAGGGCCCTGCTCCCCCTGCACCTGACGAGGCAGAAGCCACTGCACAGTATGAGCTGCCCAAGAGAGACCCAAATCGTCCAATGTCCTCTGACAAGGTCCTCTTAACAATMAGCACCCTGCAAAACTCCTACAAGCCAGCCCCAGCCCGCTCCAGTACTGAGCTCTCTGCAAAGGCCAAGAAAGCACAGCCACACAGCCCTGGCAAGGTGCCAATGCCCAAAACCCCTCAGGAACACAAAAAGGAGCAGGCAGCCCAGCTCCAACGAGCCAGACTGCACAGTGACTCTCTGACCATGACAAAAACTTTGACACCCTTTGAAACCAAAATGCTGAGGCTCAGGCTGCAAAACTCTTTGTACAGCCCCACTGTGAAATCCTCCATCCCTGCTCCCTGTGTTGTACGCCCCAGATTCTGTGGCTCACTGCGAGAAAGGAAAACTCCCAGTGGCCATGGGAAAGATACTCCTGGYCCCAAAGATGGGGATCAGCTCATTGATCTCTGCATAGCTTCYTCTGAGCTGACCCAACCAACACCCAGCTGGACTGCACAAATGAGAAATGAAGTTCCCCGCAGAGTTCCCTTTGGTTCCCGCAGGGACAGTGGGTTCAGGCTTCTGACAGCAGAGCATGAGGTACAGGAGGCAGCTGTKGCAGCTCAGCATCAGGTACAGCAGGCAAAGCACATGGAAGAGGAGGAAAGAGCCAGAAGGAAAGCCTGGCTAAGGAAAATTAAAGGCCTACCTGTGGATTCTTTTACTGGGGAAAAGAAAACACCTGCTCCTGAACTTGGCCATAATATATTTATCTGAGATGATCCCTTAGTCCGACTAACAGCCACAGCCTGAGGATTCTGGTGTCCAGCTGAGTCTGCTGTGTGGCTTTAAGTATAAAATATAGATATATTCATTTATATATATTTAAATACATGTAGTATATTTAAGTATACTCCCTGTGGTTTGAAGTATAAAACACACCCACACTCTAGGTTTTCCTAAGAAATACTACTGATATATTCAACTGTTTCTCAAGGCAGTGAATGGACTGAGCACTTTCCTGGATTTAACTCCCAAAACCTGCTGCTGTTACAGACACAGCACTGTCTGACACCAAAACAGCTCAGYATGGGGCTCAGCATAATAATAATAAGTGAGAATAATAATAAAAGCCTCTTATCAGAGCTTTTGTGGATTGATTAGAGTGTAGAAGCTGACTGAGTAGCTGAATGCAGGGGTGGGGATCAGCAGCACAAAGCACAAAGTCTGCTTAGAGGTCAGTAATTAGGGGGTGATACTGGGTCTGATCYTGTTTAACATCATCATTGATTAATGCTTGGACCATGGACAGGGTGCCCTCAGATGCCACCAAGCTGTGAAGAGGTGCTGCCATCCAGAGGGACCTGGGCAGGCTGGGGACAAAGCTGAGAGAGCCCCGGGGAAGGTCAGCAGGAGAAACTCCAGTGCTGCCCTGGGGAGGAACAGCCCTGGCACCAGGACCCATGGAAAGCAGCTGAAAACTTCCTTTCTATGAAATGTAGAACAAGGATAGGGGGCTCTGTTTCCCCATTTTTGTGGGTAAATGCCTACATGTACTTGATTGTGGAAGTTCCATCCATGGCAGGGGGATGGAACTGGATGATCTTTCAGGTTCTTTCCAACCCCAGCCTTTCTGTGTTTTTGTGATTTCCATTAAYGCTCAGGACTTAACACGAAGACAAAAACTTTTCTGGTCGTTCAGCTTTGAGTATCTGGGCTGGTGAACCAGAAATGTTGCATCAGAGGTTTGAGAGAGGCCACTCCTGCCCACGGTCATGGCGAGGGGCTTTCAGCAGTTCTGGATTGAAATGAAATTTTCTGAATCTCTGAAATTCTCTACTCAGTAGAGTTGTGATCAGTGTTGGTTTGTTTAATTTAATGTCATCTTCGCTTGCAAACCCTGGGATGAAGCCAATGAAAAATAACCCCAGGGAGGCTGGCAGCTGGCCTGGCCCGGCAGATGTGTGCCATGGCACAGGGACCGGCACCGCGAGGTGGCCGTGCCTGGCGCTGCTCTCCAGGCACASAGAAGCAGGGATTTCACAGTCAGCCACAGGATGGCAGCTTCTCCCAAGGAATCGGGAGGAGCCTCAGCTGTGGCCGAGGACCCTGTCACAATCTCCGGGGGAAAAAAGCGTGTCCTAAGGAAAGCTTGACGGGACAACATCGTGGAAAAGCTGATTCCTTTTTGGCCACGATGGCGTGAGGAGGATCAGACGGTTGTGTTCAACCTGGAGTCGATAAATCAGCACCTCCTGCAGGTGTGGGTGCTCGGGCACTTAGAAGGTGCGGCAGACAAAGGTGGTGTGAGCTCAGCCCCAAGGGTGGGGCTGGACCAAATCCTTCTGTGATCGGCTTTGGCTCAGCACAGCAGAGGGAAAGCGGGAGAGGGTGTTGCMGAGTGCCTGGAAGGGAATTCACCAGTGGCCAGGTGTCAGACCTGGTATGTGAAGTCACAGATAAAACTGAGAAGAGGTTGTTTTTCAGAGAATCACAGAAGCACGGAACGGTTTGGGTGGTTGGAAAGACCTTTAGAGCCCACCCAGTGCCACCCCTGCC